AAAAAGTGCTGAGAACTTTAAGAGAGCTAATTTTTAAAGGCTGAGATCTGCTCTCCATGACTTAGATGGTTAGGGAATATTGGCATCGATGAACACAATACAGAACATGGAGTTCTTCAAAAAGACTATGTGACCACACTGCAAAATATATTCCCATGGGCAACAAGTATAAAAGGCTACAAATCCAACCTATGTGGCTTACGGCCAAAGTTACAAAAGCTATAGATAATAAGAAAAGAGCTTTTATTAAATATAAAAATGAAGGAACGCGATCATCATTTACACACATTACAGAGAATAATTATTTACATGTTTTTCCTCTGTAAAATGCACATCCTCTGCCACTGAAGTGTTACATTTGTTGGAATGGGATTGTGGATCCATCAATATGAGTTCCGGGGTCAAGAATGACTACATTTCATGTCTTCTTATCAGGCGGACTTTTCCCAGAAGGAACAAACTGAAACAGAAATGTATTCGCTGTTTTAGAGGATGGAAAGCTCTTGGAAAAGAAATCGGCACTTTTTTGTCATATTAAAACATTCGATAAGTATGCCCGAGAAAAGATCAACCCACTTGGGTGGAGGATCCAGATCTTTCCCAACTTGAAAAAATAAGTGAGGAATACAAGAGGGAACGGAGGAAAGCCTACAATCATGCTCACAGCAAATGATGTCCATATTGGCTCCGGAATATAATAAACAGATGTTATCATTGGAGAAGGATATTGGAGGTGCAGAGAGATTGTTATCTGCATTCACAACATATTCATTGTATTCTGATTTGGAGAGGAAACTTTGGGAAGGCCTAGCAGATTTGTACAAACACACAATCAACGAAAAAAGAATACATTTTGGTGAGATAAAACAGTGTTTTTGGAAGGGAAAGCATACAGGTGGACTATCCCTCAATACACGAACCTCCAGAGAGGCGCTCATCCAATCACCACACTACACAGGTCACCGTTAGAACATGAACCTCCAGAGGAGGCGCTATCACCACACTAAACAGGACACCTTAGAACATGAACCTCCAGAGGAGGCGCTATCACCACACTACGCAGGAAACCTTAGAACAATGAACCTCCAGAGGAGGCGCTATCACCACACACACTACACAGGACACCATAGAACATGAACCTCCAGAGGAGGCGCTATCACCCACACTACACAGGACACCTTAGAACATGAACCTCCAGAGGAGGGCGCTATCACCACACTACGCAGACACCTTAGAACATGAACCTCCAGAGGAGGCGCTATCACCCACACTACAACAGGACACCTTAGAACATGAACCTCCAGAGGAGGCGCTATCACCACACTACACGGGACACCTTAGAACATGAACCTCCAGAGGAGGCGCTCAATCACCACATTACACGGGACACCTTAGAACATGAACCTCCAGATGAGGCACTATCACCACACTACACGGGACACCTTAGAACATGAACCTCCAGAGGAGGCGCTATCACCCCACTACGCCTTAGAACATGAACCTCCAGATGAGGTGCTATCACCACACTACACGGGACACCTTAGAACATGAACCTCCAGAGGAAGCGCTATCACCACACTACACAGGACACCTTAGAACATGAACCTCCAGAGGAGGCCTATCACCACACTACGCGGGACACCTTAGAACATGAATCTCCAGAGGAGGCGCTATCACCCCACTACGCGGGACATCTTAGAACATGAACCTCCAGAGGAGGCGCTATCACCACACTACGCGGGACATCTTAGAACATGAACCTCTAGAGGAGGCGCTATCACCCCCATACGCGGGACACCTTAGAACATGAACCTCCAGAGGAGGCGCTATCACCACACTACGCGGGACACTTTAGAACATGAACCTCCAGAGGAGGCGCTATCACCACACTACGCGGGACACCTTAGAACATGAATCTCCAGAGGAGGCGCTATCACCCCACTACACAGGACACCTTAGAACATGAACCTCCAGAGGAGGCGCTATCACCCCACTACAAAGTAACGGGTCACCCTTAGAACATGAACCTCCAGAGGAGGCACTATCACCACATTACACGGGACACCTTAGAACAAGAACCTCCAGAGGAGGCGCTATCACCACACTACGCAGTACACCTGAGAACATGAACCTCCAGAGGAGGCGTTATCACCACACTACAAAGGACACCTTAGAACATGAACCTCCAGAGGAGGCGCTATCACCACACTACACAGGACACTTAGAAAATGAACCTCCAGAGGAGGTGCCATCGCCACACTACACAGGACACTTTAGAACATGAACCTCCAGGGAAGGCACCATCCCCACACTACACAGGACACCTTAGAACATGAACCTCCAGAGGAGGCGCTATCACCACACTACACAGGGTCACCTTAGAACATGAACCTCCAGAGGAGGCGCTATCCACCACATTACACGGGACCACATACTTAGAACATGAACCTCCAGAGGAGGCGCCATCACCACACTACGCAGTACACCTTAGAACATGAACCTCCAGAGGAGGCGCTATCACCACACTACACAGGATACTTAGAACCTAGAGAACATGAACCTCCAGAGGAGGCGCTAGGCGCCATCGCCACACTACAAAGGACACTTTAGAACATGAACCTCCAGAGAAGCACCATTGCCACACTACACAGGACACCTTAGAACATGAACCACCAGAGGAGGCGCCATCGCCACACTACACAGGACACCTTAGAACATGAACCACCAGAGGAGGCGCCATCGCCACACTACACAGGACACCTTAGAACATGAACCACCAGAGGAGGCGCCATCGCCACACTACACAGGACACCCTAGAACATGAACCTCCAGAGGAGGCGCCATCGCCACACTACACAGGACACCTGAGAACATGAACCTCCAGAGGAGGAGGGCGCCATCGCCACACTACACAGGACACCTGAGAACATGAACCTCCAGAGGAGGCGCCATCGCCACACTACACAGGACACCTGAGAACATGAACCTCCAGAGGAGGCGCTATCGCCACACTACACAGGACACCTGAGAACATGAACCTCCAGAGGAGGCGCCATCGCCACACTACACAGGACACCTTAGAACATGAACCTCCAGAGGAGGCGCTATCACCACACTACACAGGACACCTTAGAACATGAACCTCCAGAGGAGGCGCTATCACCACACTACACAGAACACCTTAGAACATGAACCTCCAGAGGAGCGCGCTATCACCACACTACACAGGACACCTTAGAACATGAACCTCCAGAGGAGGCGCTATCACCACACTACACAGGACACCTTAGAACACATGCCCTATCACCACACTACACCACCTTAGAACATGAACCTCCAGAGGAGGCGCTATCACCACACTACACAGGACACCTTAGAAGTATGAAAAAATAAAATACAAAGTGCAGCACTTGAAATAAAACTAGAGGGGTGGAATCAGTCTAAAACATAAGAATAATCCAAAAAATCCGCCAATGTAGATAATAGCTGTTGAAAATGGTAGGATTTTGCGCTCACCAGATGCGCATTGAATACGCACATATAAAAATTCCTCCTTAGGGACTAATGGTGATGATGTGTGATGGTTATCTGTAGAACATCCGTCTAGGAATGGGCAGCTCTGCGGTCGGTGGAAGATGTCTGATTAGCCCAGAGGTCTCCTTTAGGGTCAGCCACCTGTTTACAGGGATTCCCTTCCTCTGGGTACTTGTTCAGACTGGTACTCCTCACAGGCTCTGCAGGCTCCATAAAGAAGCCATAAAGATTTTGCCCATAGTGTAGTAGTATTAAAATCACTTCATTTATTCAGAAATGGTAATCAAATATAAGGGATGACAGGTACACTGACCATTCCAAAGATGGCCGCCGGACCAGCTCGTGGCTCCGCCGGCTAGACGTCACAGCTAGTTGATCTCCTGAAGCCTTTCATGCAACTGCACGTCTTCAGAGGAAAATCAACTAAGCCCTGACAGTTATAGATCGGGTTTATATACGGTCCACGCATGCGCACACCGCGTCGCCGCCATTTTGCCGAAGTGCGGCCAATGTGTGGGCGTGTCAGCGCCATTTTACCGTGGATTTTTTAGTGACTGCAGAATAAATCTACTCTGACACAGTCAACCTATGACAGGCAGGACATCCGAAAATTGGCAAAAGAACATCTGAGCTGCAATGAACGATCTGGCAGCTGATACAATTAGTACTGGTGACTGAGACAGTACATAAAAATGAAATAAATAAATGTAAATTCATTGTATGAAAGGGATGGTATACATTGAAAATGTGATTCCTTCAGGTAAGTAACAAATATATGAATATCACACGTAATATATCATGTACTGTAATGGTGATTATACAAATCTTCTCAGATGCCTAAAAAAATATTTAAAAAAACAGTTGTCACACCAGGTCATAAAAAAAGGGGGGGGGGGGGGAATCCAAGGTGCAATAGGACGCTCAATAAACCACATTATATATACTCAATAAAAACAATAAAATACAAAATGCTAATTAAATCGCCATAAAGTGTAAAATTGCAAAATAAAACCTGCTCCTATAGACCAGGATAGGCATGAATCAGAAATATAGTCATAATATATGTAGTCCATATTAAAATATCATAAAACAATAAAACTACATAAGGAAAGTAATAAAATATCGAATAGTATAGCATAAAAAGTGTATGTATAATATTATGCATAAAAATATGTATAAAAATCAAAATTACACTAAAACTACCCGTGTTTAGAATTTAAACACTACATAACTAATAAAAGTACATTGGAACAAGCATAAAAATAAACCAACATAATGAATAAAAATGAATAAAAGTACAAATGTGGATCTTGATAAACATAAATTGATTAACTATTATCAATAAAATAATTGAGATCCACTTCGATGTTATGTCCGCTGGGATATAGGGTGCCTAATTCATACACCCACTTAGTTTCTAACTGCGAGACCACACGTTTTTTCTATGTGCCTCTCCAGTGTGGGGTGACAGTATCTATCCCCCAAATCTCAGAGAAGAAGGGTCTCTATTGTGATATAGCCTGAAATGTTTAGACAAGGAATGTTCTTTCAAACCCCGCTTAATGTTGTAGACATGTTCCCGGAGGCGGTCTCTCAGTCTCACCCCACGTATTGCTTATCACAGGGACACACCAGCATATAGACCACGTGTCTAGTGTTACAGGAAATGAAATTCTTCATGTTATCCGATCTGCCTGTGCTGCTCCAGGTGAAGGGATCTAATCTGCGTTTCCTTATACCATTACAGGTACATATAACACACCTATTACAGGGATGACACCCTGGAAGGTTAGCAAACAATGAAACCGTCTTGTATACTTGTATCCAGTATTAGGTGCCAACCGGTGTCTAATGGCCATTGCCTTACTGAAGATGATTTCTGGTTTGCCAGGTGAATTGTTGGCAAGCACGGGGTCTGTTTTCAGGATATCCCAATTTTTCTTAACCATTTCAATACCGGGCAATTTTCCCCTTCCTGCCCAGGCCATTTTTTCAGGTTTTCAGCGCTCTCACACTTTGAATGACAATTGCGCGGTCATACAACATTGTACCCAAACTAAAATTTATAATTTCCTTCACATAACTAGAGCTTTCTTTTGATGGTATTTAATCACTGTTGGGGTTTTTATTTTCTGCTAAAAAAGACCAAAAATGTTGAAAAAAAACACGATTTTATTTGTTTCTGTTATTAAGGTTTGCAAATGAATAATTGTTCTTCATAAATTTAGGCCGAGATGTATTCTGCTACATTTCTTTGGTGAAAATAACCCAAATTAGGATGTATTATTTAGTTTGTAGGAAAGTTATAGAGTTCACAAACTATGGTATAGATCTGAATATTGATCAATCCTGAAGTACTGACAGCCAATCTAATTTCTTGAGGTCCAAGAATGTCAGGACAGTACAGATATCCCCCAAATGTCAGAATAGTACAGATATCCCCCAGAATAGTACAGATATCCCCCAAATGTCAGAATAGTACAGATATCCCCCAAATGTCAGGACGGTACAGATATCCCCCAAATGTCAGGACGGTACAGATATCCCCCAAATGTCAGGACGGTACAGATATCCCCCAAATGTCAGGACGGTACAGATATCCCCCAAATGTCAGGACGGTACAGATATCCCCCAAATGTCAGGACGGTACAGATATCCCCCAAATGTCAGGACGGTACAGATATCCCCCAAATGTCAGGACGGTACAGATATCCCCCAAATGTCAGGACGGTACAGATATCCCCCAAATGTCAGGACGGTACAGATATCCCCCAAATGTCAGAACGATACAGATATCCCCAAATGTCAGGACAGTACAGATATCCCCCAAATGACCCCTTTTTGCAGAGTAGACAGTCTGACGTACTTCATAAGAGGCATGGCGAGTTTTTTGAAGTTGTATTTTTTTTGGCATAATTATTCGGAAAATGAAAAAATGCAAAAAATAATTTTCACTATTTTTTTTTTTTTTACATCCTGTCACCAGTGCAGTACAGCGTCATCATATAACTGGCATGGCGGTGATCAGGGACACTGACTGGTGACAGTAATAAAAAAGATATATACTTTTTTTATTATTTTAAATTTTTTATTAGTTTTTTTCAAGATTTTTTTTTTCATATTTCACTGTCCAAAGTAGTACAATGTTACCATAGTAACATTGTACTACTTTGGGGAAGTGATTAATATTTTTTTTTTTACACAATTTGCTTATAGCAAAGAATTACTTTGCTATAAGCAAGCATTTACTTGAATGACATTGATTCATTCAGGCTTTTTTTTTTGTGCTTAGCTGTGATTTGGTCACAGCTAATCACATGACATGTGCATGTGATCGCTGTGACCATTCACAGCTAGATACTAGTATACAATGGATGGCATGAATGAAGCCATCCATTGTATACAACTGTCATGTGACCTGCTGTGATTGGTCACAGCAGGTCACATGGCACCGGCAAACGGGGGCCGGTACTCAGATCTGTCATCGGCCGTGTCTGAGGTACACGGCCGGTGACAGATCGCACCGCTGCGCGGCTCTGCAAGTGTGAAAACTGCGCATGTGCGGGAGGACGCCAAGTGGCATCCACCCAGAAATCTAGAGCATTTTCCCAGCCGCCATTCGGCTATTGGCCGGGAGGGAAGTGGTTAATAATCCCGCTTATAGCTCTATATTGTATGGAATAGGTTGTTATGAAAGGACAGACCCGTGAAGTTGGTGTTTTCATTGTGTCAATCAGCATTTGGTCCCTATCAGGACTAGCCACAGTTTTGAGAGTATTATCCAGCGTATTTACACTGTAACCTTTTTCTACAAATCTATCTTTAAGGACTTTAGCCTGAGAATGGTAATCATCAATATTTGTGCAATTTCTACGAATTCTTGTGTTCTGGCCCTTGGGAATATTTTGTAACCACGTCGGGTGGTGGCAACTATCCATAGGAATATAACTATTCCGGTCTGTTTTTTTAAAAAATGATTTCATCGTGACATTACCATTTATGTTCATTATAGTAAGGCCTAAAAAGTCCATTTCTGATTTGCTGTAGGAATATGTTAGATTAATGTTCAGGCTATTATTATTTAAGGTGCTAAAGAAATTCGTTAAGGATTGCTCGTCTCCATTCCAAAAAAGAAGGATGTCATCTATAGACCTTTTGTATAGTAAAAGTTCCGGCCAATCACGAGCATGAATCAGGTCTTCCTCCCAGGAAGCCATAAACAGATTAGCCAAGCTAGGGGCAAATGTGGCCCCCATGGCCACGCCTTTAATCTGTAGATAATTGTCAAGGTCCTACCTTTTCCCAGAGGTTAGGTTACTGCATGTGCTGGCATCCATCTTGAAATTCTGCTGAGCATGATGGGAATCTTTTATGCCTTCAGGTCTCTGAGGTCCATCCCCCAGAGGGGTGTGGCTGAGCACATATAAGCCTGGGATCTGCACATGCTCTTTGCACTTGTGCCTTGTGTCCTTGTCTTGCTACAGCTCTGTGTATACGCTCGTGACTCTTCTGGTATTCTGACTCGGCTTGTGACTAGACCATTCTCTGTGTTTCCCTTTGATCTGACCTTCCGTTGCTGAACCCGGCCCGTGACCTGTGATTCTCTGTCTACTGTTCTGTAGTGGTTTGTCCCGTTGTTGTTGACCCTGCTTGCCTGACTACGCTATTCTCACCAGCTACACGCCATTGGCGGCGGCCATTACCGCAGCCGGGGGTGTCTCGGGGGCCGCGACCTGGTTCCTGGCTGCGTCAAGTCCATCCCCACCATCAGGGGCCCTGGTGAAGGGCAGCCTGGGACTTAGACTCCGCGCCCTGAGGGACTTTGGTCTGTTGGTGGTGGTTGTCGTCAGCCAGTGCGTTACCCTGCCACTAGGCCTACCTGTCCGCTCCACAGCCCTGCCCTGACATTACACAAGTGCCATGAATCCTGACGGTGCAGGTACGCCTTCGCTTCCTATGTTGGTCGCCCGACTGGATCAACAGGATCTCCTGTTGGATCAGTTCGCTCAGGCGTTGCAAACATTAGGCCGGTTGGGCATTCCGGGGTCCCCCCC